TTAAATACTTATAACTCATAAACTACTCGCCCCAAATTCAATTTTCATGTATCAAAATACTAAGAAAAATATTCTATTTTAGAATATAAAATTAAAACCCTATGTTGTCATTCAAAAAAGTAAAAAACTTAAAAAATTATAAGGATAAAAAATAATTAAAAATATAATTTTTTAATAAAAACGTTGTTTTATAAGCGACTTGAAACTATGTAAAAAAATATCTTCACAAAAATTTACACTTTTTGAAATAATGAGTGTTGTTTGATAAAAGAATCACCCAGTATATATATATCATATTTTATTTATGTTATCCGTACCTTCAACAAGATTCCATGTTATAAAGAATATTTTACTTTTCATATTTTACTGTTTAATAATTTTGTAATTTTAAAATAAAATGGAGTAAATAATAAACAATAATTTAAATAAACTAAACTTTTTACTTAATTAAGTTATATTTTTATTCAAAAGTTCTCGGCGAACAGTCGTCACGCGCGCACGTTCAGTCGCCGCTCAGTTAATGTTTGCTTGTTTTTTATCTTTCAATTTAATTGTCTCCCCATTTACAATAAAGACTATTTACAAGCCTGTGCAATTTCTATGACTATAAATCACATTCCCCTCTCAATAGCCGCTGCTTACTGTCCCCCAAGACACAACATAACTCCTGACCAATTCATAACATTTTTTAATTACCTTGGACATAACGACATCAACGCAAAACATCCTCACTGGGGCTGCCGTGCCAGCAACCCTCGTGGCAACACTCTTCTACAAATCATCTCCTACAAACGATACAAAGTTCACTCTCCAACCGACCCAACTTATTGGCCCACATCACCATCTAAACGTCCTGACATCCTCGATATCTTCATCTCAAATGTACTAAACGGTCTCTACCAACACACCGAAAATTTTAAATTCCTTCTCTCTGATCATTCAGCCGTCCTCCTCACCCTTAACGCCTCACCGCCAATTCAATTACCCAAACCCTCACTAACAAACAAAAACACGGACTGGGATTCATTTCGGTCACAACTTTCTAACGACACTAACCTAAATATAAAACTTAAATCTCCAGAAGACATCGAAGACGCTATTGCCAAATTAAATCAATCGATACAAAGAGCCGCGTGGAACTCTACCCCAGTATCACAACCCTCCCCTCCTTTTTCCATAAACATTCCTGCTCATATACGTCATGTAATTAGCGAAGAACGCCGGGCAAGAACTCAATGGCAACGAACCAAATATCCCTCTGACAAAAATCGTCTAAACTCCCTATCTACACAATTAAAAAGACTGATGTCGAACTTCAGAAACCAATCATTTACTAACTATATAGCCTCACTTTCCTTCAAAGATGGTTCTATCTGGAAAGCCACAAAAAAAGCTCTTAAAGAAAAACCCTCATATCCTCCCCTAAAATTACCCAACAACACATGGGCCATTGAGGACCCAGTTAAAGCAGATCTCTTTAAAACTCACCTAGCCGAAGTCTTTAAACCTCATAATAATATGAACAACCCTGCTTTTTCCAACATAATTGAACAATTTTTGCTTTCCCCCTTGCAAATGACTCTACCCCCTAAAGCGTTCTCTCCTGCAGAAGTCCAACATTGCATTGACTCATTCCCTAAAAGGAAGGCGCCCGGTTTCGATCTCATAACATACGAAGTAGCCAAACATCTCCCAAGGAAAACGCTAATACTTCTTACGTACATTTTTAATTCAATTATTCGTCTATCCTACTTCCCGCTTCAGTGGAAGTTCTCTATCATTATAGTCATTCCCAAACCTGGTAAGCCCCCCGGCATTCCTTCCTCATACAGACCTATAAGTCTTCTACCTTTCTTCTCGAAGGTACTTGAAAAGCTTGTGATCAAACAAATTAGTCCGATCATAAATAACTCTAAAATTATACCCAATTCGCAATTCGGTTTTCGAAACCGTCATTCCACAATTCACCAAGTGAATCGTATAACTGACACAATAGCCTCAGCTCTAGAAAAAAAACAATACTGTAACGCTGTCTTCCTTGATGTCGCTCAGGCATTCGACAGGGTATGGCACCCTGGCCTCCTATATAAATTTAAAAAAATCCTCCCACCCGCCTTCTATCTATTTTTTAAATCATATCTCGATAACCGCCAGTTCACTGTTCGGTACCGCTCAAGTCTCTCGTCTATATCCACTATAGAAGCCGGAGTTCCTCAAGGAGCAATTACAGCACCTGTCCTTTTCAACATCTTCATAGCTGATCAACCCACCTCTCCCTACACGTTCGTTGCTGAATACGCCGATGATAAAGCTATCCTTTCAACCCACGAAAACCCTATCATTGCCTCTCTTCAACTTCAATCTCATCTCTCTCGTTTGGAATCCTGGTGTCAAAATTGGAAAGTCAAAATAAATGAAACCAAATCCTGCCACATCACTTTTACCCTTAAACATCAAATTTGCCCTCAAATTTATTTTAACAACATCACAATTCCAACCTCACCAAGCACAAAATACCTAGGTATATATTTTGACAAAAAACTAAACTGGGCCCACCATACTCATAACATCAAAATTAAACTAAACTCTCGTCTTCGTTCCCTTAAATTTTTCTTCAACCCAAAATCAAAACTTACACTTCACACTAAACTAAACTTATATAAAACTCTCCTTAAACCCATTTGGATGTATGGCATCCAAATATGGGGCTCTGCAAAAAAGTCACATACAAACAAAATTCAAATAACCCAAAATAAATTGTTTCGTTTAATAACAAAGGCTCCTTTCTATGTATCCAATCAAACTTTACACTCTGACCTAAAAATGAACACAGTGTTAGAAACCGCTACCAAGTCTTACTCTCGTTACCACAACTCGCTCTTCGACCATCCTAATATCCTAGCTAAAAATCTAACCAATCCAATGCCTGGCAACCCTCCCAAAAGATTGAAAAGAAAGTGGTGCCGCGACCTACTTTCATAATTTAACTTTACGACTCTGACCTGGAGTGTCACCAGTGGGTGGCTTCTCCTTCATGTTTTTCTGGCTGTAATCTTAATTTGTTAACACTTAAGCTTATTATACATAATTTGTATAGATTGTTTAACTCAAATAAAAAACAAAAAAAAAAAAAATATATTTTTACTCACGCATATTGTAGGTAGGTACCTACTATACCTATACACTAAAGATATTTGATACTGTTTTAGTAAAATTATTTAACCATAATAATTAATAATAGGTTATCGTATTAAATGTTTACTGATTAATGATTATCTTTTGATTAAAGACTATCATTTATGCGTACAATTTATGTATAGTTCACAACTCTATCATTATATAAACTTCAACATATTGATATCAATTATATATTTACTATCATTTTTAATAAAACTAATTGGAGGAGGGATTTGATTCTACTGTTGGGCATAATGCATAATATTAATCCTTACTTTATTAGTATCACTTTTGGCGTATTATAGTGATAAGTGATCAGTAATACGCCAAAGTTGTACGTATCGTACAAGGTATATTTTATTTTAGTTAAACAAATTAGGTTTTTTTGGTGGTCGGCGGCAGTTTATTTTAATAATAAACACTACGCGGAATTATAGAAGTCACCAAAAAATTAACAGGTAATAACTCTACAACTCAGTTATGTATATAATGTATTAACAACTCATGAGTGTATTTTTTTTAAATTTTAAATTAACTACTTATATTATGGTACAAAAAAATTAAAATTAAAAAAATCACATAGGTGTTTAAAATTTTATCATATAAATTACTCGAACGACTTTTACTATTATAAATGTTTTTTCTTTAGTATATTCAAAAGTATATATAACAAATAATGCTTTGTATAAAAGAAAAACAAATATTTTTAACTTTAATTTCCTTGTTTGCTTAACAAATTATTTTTCGCTTGAAATTACCTTCAGTATGGCCTAAAATTTTACATAAATATTAATAAAATTCATATTTAAAATTTAAAATTTTTTTTAGTTTTTTTTTTCTTCAAATGTCAATAAAATATGTGTGAACAAAATATATGGTAGGTAATAAATTGAAATTATTATGTTTATATAAAATAAGACCGATGATAAGTTTTTATGACGGTCACAAACATTATGGTTAACCGTGAACCTATCTATTTGTTAATTCATCATTATTTTTTCTAATTAATTGCTTGTTTTTAACCATTTGTTTGATATCTTTTTTTTCCTAGTTAATCGAGGGACGGAGGAGAAACCGCGTTTGCATCACTTCTCCTATTCGTTTGATACCTATAAAGGTATCTAGAAATTAATCTAGTTAATAGATAAATTAAAACAATACATTTTGTACGCATTATGTGACCTAACCTGATATGGTTGTTAAATGGTATATTATGTTATGTTACCAAATATTGGTAGGACTATTTAAATTTCCAAATTCGTCAAATTGCCCGCCCGTGTCTATAGTACATAAATTATTGAGTGAATGAAAGTCACAGATTGAAATTATATATTGTAGCCGTATTATATTATTATGTTTTCATATAATATATTGCACTTGATGATTACTAATTTTAATATTCTTGAAATATTACTATATTATAAAATCATTTTATTAGGTTAGTTTAAAAATCATATATTTTATAATTACCAAGGGTTATCGACAAAGTTAGATAACTGAAATTAAAATTATTATTATTAAAAATACATTTATATACATATATCATAAGACTTTTATCCATCAATAGGTTTTATGTATTTTGTTGACTATATTATGTATACCTAATAAATGTAATAATCAATGGTAACTAATCAGTTTGAACTACTGTAATCTTTTATTTGTTATTTATTACTTTAAATATTAATTTCCTTCGATCAGACAATTAATTATCACGTAATTGTTGTCACAACACGGCATGGGCAATTTTAATATTTACTATATAGGTAAAAGTTTAATTTTATATTTTTGTATTTAGGTACAAGGTTTGATCTACTTAAGGAAACATGGATGGAAGAAAATTAATTTTTTGTATGGTATTGGTCTTCAGTCTGGGAATTGGTGGGGACAGGAGTGTCAGGGCTCAAAACTCACAAAATTATAATGGTGGGTTAAAAAATGTTGAAATATTGTTGGTAATTAATCTAAATATACAAATAACTATATGTGTGTGTGATTGTAGTCAAATTATTCAAAACCTGATCACTTATCAATTATACACGGATCCGATATAGTTTGTTCTAGTTTGAACTCTAATAGAAATTGATTATTTTTAATATAAATTATATTTAAAATTTTGACAAAATTCATCAACATTTCAAAAATTTTCCAGCTATTTTAAGGTAGAAATTCATAAAAGTTTTTTTTTCATTGGTAACATTAGACATTGTAATAGAAGATTCCCTGTACATTTTTCTACCTTAAATAAAAAAAAGTTTACCGAAAAGTAAAATTAATTTTTTATGAGTGTTTCAATTTAAAAATGTTTAGGATATTAGATTCTTTTCACGAGTAAACTAACGAATTTTAATCGATCGATTTTTGATAGTTTGTTGTAATTAAAAAAAGGTCCCACAAGTTTTTCTACCTCTACCACTACGCTATTTATAATTTTTCGTATACAATGATTTATTATTGAATTCAAATATAAACACGTCAATTACACATACACTACAGTCTACAACTACTGTACAGTAGAGCAGTTTCTAACCGTAAACCTTTTTAAAATTCAAATTATTATTTAGGAATATATAAGTATTATATATTTTTTTTTTATTATTAATTAACCCGCTGCAACTTAGGCCATTGTGTTGTTTTTAAACTGTGGCGGAGGGAACTGTAGGTGTTAACACTTGCTTGTAGGTTTGGCAGATTTTTTAGTGGCACCCGTGGGTATCTGCCATGTCCGGGTGGAGGATCACCGTGACTTGCCCGAAGAAAAATGCGGCTCGTGAACCGAGGTTTGAACCGACGCCGGTGTGCGTCACAACCGATGCCTCGGTCTTCTCTGCCACTCCGTCTCCTCGTATAAGTATTACTGTATTAGGTACCTATATATAGATTTAAACATTTTTTAAAAAGATTTTTTGAGCATTGTATGGAATTTTTCAAAATTTGTTGTCTTATTGTTATACATCCGATTCAAATTTTTATTTCATTGACTGTTAGTTTCATAAAGTGAGAGCTAATATTATATTATTCTAACTAGTAACTAGAACCAAATCAATTACAAGCTTCGTTGGATTCTTAAGAGTAAACAGTGTTTAAATTTGTTAAATTGTATCTAAGTTTATATTCCATTAAACAATTCCCTATAAGCACTTGATCATCGAAGTTTATAATACACCGAGGGAAAGTCAGGATGATTATACACGTAAAGTCGTATCCATCAGTGTTAGAAATTTATAGAGATGAGAACTCTCCAAAAAATTACTCACATAAGAGTAGCCTTTTAATTCTAGTTGTGTGATTATTAATATATCTCTGTTCTCACTTTAAGTAAGAATCATTCATAAAAAAATGGAGAAAGTAGACAACTGCTCTGCTGTACAGTACTTATAGGTGTCAAATGTAACTTGTTATAGAATTAGTCACTATAATGAATATCAAGTATGTGATAATTTAGAGTTCATTGATGGGAATCGTTGCATACGAAAAACGATTCTGATCAAATACGGTCTATATCACTATAATTATATTTTATAGTGTTTACTATTTTTACATTGCTTTTATATAGTAATTTATTTTATTGTTAGTAAGACTGATAATAACAAAGACATACTTGAAGCCTACTTTACAGTACTGTGAATTCCCTGTTTTTTTTTGTTAAGTTAAGTTAATACGAATTCAGGAGTATAGCTGGTAGTTATAATTACACCAGTTAAACTAACAAAGAAATGAAGTTTTTTTAACAAACTTTTCAAAAACTTTACCTGTATAAAATAATTGTTCCTAATTGTTTAAATTTTTAGAATGTTTCACACCAAATATTCATAACTTCATTTGCACTAACATTATGGAATGTCCAGTGCTACTTAATCTAGTAGAATATCACAGACAAAATTCTTCTATCGTCACTTTTCTCAGAAACCAAGTATGTGGACATGAAATTGATTTTCCTTATTACCCCAAGGTATGCTGTCCATTTTCGAATGAATCTGATTCTAAAGCAATTTACGAAACAGTTTCGTCAAGAAAATTGCCATCTCAAGACACTTGTGGACGGAGCAAAATTACTCACGATCCAATTGAAGGAGGAAAACCTGCTGAATTAGGTATAAGTTTAAAAACAAATTAAATTATAATTTATTTTTAATTATTATTTTTAAATTTCACAAAATATAATATACATAGACAATTATATAAGATTTAGTGAATTATAATTACAAATATTGACTTTTAAATGTGTTTAGGTGCTTGGCCCTGGATTGCAGCACTTGGGTATAAACATCTTAATAAGGAAAATCCGGAATACAAGTGGATGTGTGCTGGTTCCTTGATATCAGATAGATTCGTATTAACAGCTGCCCACTGCACCATCGGTATTGGAATGTACCGTTTGTAGGTGTATATTATGTTACCGGCAAAGTGTTAAATTTAGGCATTCTATAAATGTCCTAGGCATTCTATAGAATTCCGTTAACTATTTCCAAATTTATTAAATTTGGATATTCTATAATATTATGCCTTGGCAATCTATACAATTTCAAAAATGTTTATAGAATACTAATAATATATGACATATGTTAGGTAAAGTGGTAAATAAAATATTTTAATTGTTTTTACTATTTATTGCAGCGTATATTGACGTATCACATTTCTAACTGCATGAAATGTTATTTTTTACCCACCGACATTTTTTGAATTGAAATTTTGTCTTTCATGTGCATTTTTTAAAACCTTGGTCATTTCCTGTAGATTGTCGAGCTACAACCTGCAGTTTTACTTTTTTAAATGACGGCATACATTTTTCATTAAATATTTCAAACTGAATATTTTCTTTAAATTTTAAATATGTACCTTTTTCTATTTTTGAAAAACTAACAAGTAGGTAGTCAAAAAAGTAAAACAATTTTTTACAAAACATGGTTCCAAAAGTTAATAATATATTTAAAATAGGTAAATAAATTATAGAGAGTAGGTTGATTCCATAATAATATTATACCACATACCTATCTAATGCTAATTGTACCTATCATTGGTGTTATAATAAACTATTGTAAAACGAATTTATTCAAACTAAATTATTAAAACATTATTATTTATTTATAAAAGATCTATTAATTTATATAAAATCAATTGTTGATAATCGTTTATATCAAATATCGTAGCTTTAAATATTTGGTTTTTCAGGCAGGGTGTGCGTTTAGGTGATTTGAACTTAAATCCTAATGTAAAAGATGGATCTAATCCAATAGATGTTCCAATTTCACTTGTCATAAGACATAATCAATATAATATACAACATATGACCAGTGATATTGCATTATTAAAATTAAACGACAGTGTTTCATTCAGTCGTAAGTATTTTTTATATTTAGGTACTAATTATTTGTTAACTAATTTATATTAATTGCATTATTAAAGAAATAAAAAATTGTATGTAAGAATATTATTACTAAACATTTCAAATACTTAGAATCATTAGTTTATTACATACAATGGATTTTAGATTCGTAGTGGTTACAATTTACAGACATAATCACTAAACTACATAGTTGTTATTCGCAAATTTTAAATCATGTTATATGTGTTGGAATGACAAGGTCAACAGGTCACTTGTCTATAAGGCGAACTTTTAGAGTACTGTAGGCACTAGATTATAATATTACTTATGTTTATTTCATGCGCTAACATGCTTCCATATTACTTATTGCTATAATCAGTGTAATCATTTTTGTCTAAATCGATCTACAAACATAATCTTAAACTCAACCATTTTTTTTTTAGAATTTATTCAACCTATATGTTTGCCAATCTTATCGAATCATAGAGCCAACAATTTCGTTGAATCTGACACATATCTTGCAGGATGGGGTTCGACGATGATAAGTAAGTAACCAAATAGTATATAAATATAGAGTAGGTGCATTTACAGACATTACAGCATATTCAAATATCAATGTTTATTTTATAAATTTGGGTTTAATAATGTTATATTTATTATTTAAAAGATCCAAGTTCTGATGCTCTAATGGAAGTTCAATTACAAGTGGTAAACAATTCGGAATGTCAACAAAGATATCTTAACAATAGTATCGATATCGATGATACACATTTGTGTGCTGGAATATTTGGAACAGATGTTTGTAGGGTAATGGATAACATTTTTATAATTTTTAATGTACATTTTCAATATACCCATTTATAATTTTGATTGTTATTTCAGGGAGATTCTGGAGGTCCCTTAATGTGGCAAAATGGTTCTCAATATTATTTAGTGGGGGTCGTGAGTTTCGAACATACTAACTGTGGTAGAGAAAGTTACCCAGGTGTATATACTAGGGTGACATCATTTGTCCAATGGATCGAAGATACCATGAATTACAATTAAATTGTATTCATTTATGCTGTTTTTTATGAATTTTACTTAAGAACGAAAATATGAATAGTCAACTCAGTGCAATTGGCTTATCTATTTACTATTATAACACATTTTTAATTACTCAGATAACTACTTTAATATTTATGTGTTTCCATTTTTCGTCTAGGTACATGTGCAACAAAAATATATTTTATACCACTTATATTTCATATTGTTTTGTGCTTTTCTTTTATGTCTTATGTATGAGTATGATGATAATACTTAAATACTTGATGACGAAGATTATGTTAAGTGAGAAAAAGTCGACGCAAAATTAATAAAATCCAGTCGAATAATCGGGTCAACCGGAAACATTCAAAACTTCATGTTTTAATTGGATATTTGATTTAGTGAGAGCAAATAAATGTATTTTTTCTCTCGTGGTACGTATTCATTCATAAATAAAAAATAAAAAAGGATGGACAAGTGTCAAGTGGATACCACTCTGCTGTACAGTAGCGTTGTTGAGCATGTCGTTGTAATGGATGTGTTAAACTATTTAAATTCAATGATAAATCATTGTATATGAAAAACGATTCTTAGCAGAGACGTTATTTCAGCCTAGCATACTTGTATAAATAATAAAATTTAATATTTAAAATAAAAAATTATAAAAATAAAAAATATTTCACGACTATAAATAGCGTGACTTTCTAGTAAACTTTTTATTTGTAATAGAGGTAGAAAAACTTATTGGGAACCTTCTTTTAAAATGTTTTATGTTTAGCTATGATAAGAAAATTTTTTATGAATTGCTAACTGAAAAATAATTTACAAAATTTAAATAATTTCTTATGTATATAAATAGCTTAAAAACAGTCAAAATAGTTTGATGGATCATGTATGGAAGAGGGTTATTTTTAAATTTTGTGAAAATGTCAAGTGTTTATGGTTATTCCATTTTTAATTTAAAAATCAAAAATCGATAGATTAAATTAGTTTTTTTGCCGGTGAAAATTTAATATCGTAAACATTTTAAATTCAAACTCTCAGAAAAAATTAATGTTACTTTCCGGTAAACTTTTTATTTGTTTAAGGTAGGAAAATTTGTCAGGAATCTTTTATCAAAATATCTATTGTTAGCTATGAAATGTAAAACTTATGAATTTCTAACTGAAAAATATCTTAAAGTTTTGAAATTTTGATAAATTTTGTTAACATTTAAACTTAAATGCATATCAAAAATAATTGAGCCTATTTATCTTTAATATTTTTGAACTTACATTAATGAAACTTATTGCATTACATTTTCAAGCTTTCTTACTAAGTAAAAAGGTGTTTATCGAGAATAATTTAAAAAAATTACAAGTTTTTAGAAATTTCCGAAGGCTAGCCCAGAGTCAAAATATTTTGAAAAAATTATTATTTTTGGAAAATGCTAATATTAATACTTGGTGAAAATTTGAAGGGTGTACAGTAATTAACGTTTGAGTTACACCAAAAAAATGTAATCAATTTTTTTTTAAAAATTCCCTAAAAATTGTTTTACACATTTATATTAAAATTTAAATGGATATTGAGCTCGTAGTACTAGATTATTATCAAGTTAAAGTTGGACCTCAGGAGTTTAAATGTGGCAACGGAACTAAAGTTTACCACCTACGCACAACATAATATTATGATGATAATTTGTCGAGACACTTGTCGTCACAGTCTTCATGTCAAACAAATAAATGTTTTCCAAAAACCCTAAAAATAATACAATATAATATAGCCACTTACAATACGGTGATACTACTCGGCCACATTACGCATTGTACATGTATAGTATATACATAAACATATACAAACATATACATCTATGCCCCCATCGTGTTAACGGGTGTGTTTGTGTGTGTGTGTGTGTGTGTGTGTGTGTGTGTGTGTGTGTGTGTGTGATTATACAGCATAATATATTAATATTATACAATTTTACAATATTATATAGCCGGTGTAGAGGTACAGTAATAATAATAATAATAATAATAATAATAATATTATATACAAAAACGTCACGTGGTAGTTTCGTAATTCTATTGAATAGCTCGAGCGCTCACACACACACACAATACATACCGTGTCGACGGCGTTAACATAATAAAGGTCCTGGGGTGGGGGGGGGGGTGTTCGTGGGGAAATCGAAAACACTAGAAATAACAATAATAACAATAATAAAGCCACACCACCACCTTGTGTATAAATATAATATTATTAAATGTTATAATATAATACGTGCGCGCATAATATAAATAATGGAATATAACATTATATGCGTGAAAACTGTACACTGTTGTGAGGGGGTGGGTGGTCAGGGCTGTTGATGGAGTGGCGGGCTTGTTATAATAACAATAATAATAATAACAGCTAACGCGCGCTTCTTTTTCGACAGTATAACAGTAATAAAAACGTACGGATTTTCTGCATATTCAGCCGGACAAGAGGTGTTTGGAAATAAATATACGCACGCCAATCTTCCACTGTATTAAATTAGAGTATCGATATTATTGTTGTCGTTATAAGCGAGCGACGTGTGTGTTTTCAGGGGTTCGGTATATTGTGAATGATAATACGCAGGAGTGGCGTGCGCACACTACAGCAGACATAAGGTATGTTAGTGTGTGTGTGTGTGTGTGTGTGTGCATGTGTGTACGATACTGAGAAAGGTAGAGAGATAGGGGACTATAGAGAGAGAGAGAGAGAGAGAATGAGTGTGTGTGAAAGGGACGATTTATGATTTAAGCTCAGTACTTGTTATAACACTATGAACACCCTCTACTATGTGCAAACCTCCTCGTCCCCGCTTGTATGTGTGCATATATAGGTACCACTTATATATACAAACTGCGCCGCGAGTACATATTATTATTATTATAGGTGTGAGAAAGGGATTTGGTTCGAAATTTTCCAATACGTGTGGATACCTACCTACCTATAAACATACACACTCACACACACACATTATATACCTGCGGGCGGTATAATAATAATATTATTATGTATTGTGTTGTCACCATTATTGCGCACAATGGTCGAAAGTTTTCGGAGGTCGCCCGCGGAATAAAGATGATAAATAATCATAATTAAACGCCACCGCATCGCACGCGGCGGCGGCATCGACGACGATGACTATTCGTCGGATAGTCCTCGCGCGACGCGTTGTTTATTGCAGTTGCAACACTATTTAAGAACGCGCGTTGTGTGTATGAGACATAATAATAATAATAATAATATTATATTATTATATTGTTCTACACATATTATAGGTACTCGATAACTATATACGACTTCCGACGGAGAACAACTCCCGCGGCACACAAATATCTCGTTTCAAACTTCTAAGCCATTAATTGTATATTATACCGTATAATATGTGTACCGTGTGTGAGTGTCGTGTGTGTGTGTGTGTGTGTCGTGCAATACAGTATAGTAAGATACGATATTATTATATCAAAATACATATTATTATGCAGCGTAAACTGCAGACTATGAAACGCAGATGAAAAAAAAACACCGGTTTGATTATAAAAGAATTATTTTTAATTTTTAGTACACAGATTCTATTATATTATGCTGCTGCGATTCGAGCTGCACCGCGTTTTTTATGATGACGTATTTTTTTCATCTTATTCTTGTTTTTCTACTTTGGATTGAAAGGGACTTCGAGGAGGTAACTCTTCGATTATCTCAGTACAACATCCTTAGGAGAACAATTATTTGCAGGAAAATTAGAAAATGTTTTAATGACAGGTCTGACCGAGTATTCCGAGTAATCACGTTCTTTAAATGTGAATATTTATCATTAATTTCAGATTAAACATCGCAACGTACCGTTATTCTACATACTCTGAAAAGAGTGAAGAGAAAAAATTCAGACTCCCATATCTAGGTCGTGTATTTGAAGTGTTGCCGGACAAACATTTAAAAAACAAATTGTACTTAATCAATATTACAGTTAAAAATGTATTTGTTTCGATGGTTTTATAGATTGCCAGATTGGTATTATTACTGGAAATGTTTGACTTGTTAGAGTTGCTATCATCACCAGCTGATTTTAAAAATACGAAAATATGTGGGACATAAAAATTACCCTGGGGACTGGCGTAGGTATAACTAATTACACTAAATAGGTATTATACCAAAATATATCAATAGGTATATGCAAATACATATTACTTATTTAGATTATTTATTTAGATACTCATTTAAAGGGGGATTCGGGTATTATTTTAAACCAAACAATTTTGTCTCACGTTATTATAATGTAGTAGCCAGTATAATAGGTATAGCGAACTAAACAATAGGTTTATCTAATATCAGGGAAAAGTGGAGAGTTTATAATGAAAATCATATCTCGCTTGCTGTATAGATCGGGACTATAATGAATCATAACGTTTTAACCTATCGCTATAACTCGAGAATAATATAGTAGGTATTCTTGATACAAGTTAAGTTGAATGGGAATTATTATTTATTATTAATATGATATATTCGTTATTATTTATTAATTATTAGATATATCAAGTTTCCTCCTTGAAGCAACCTTCGTATTATTATTTTATACTTGTCTTGTGTTCTAAATAAAAACATATACCAATATCTACTTGAACATAAATGTAGAAAAACATATAAAAAAAATTATAATATCATTATCATATTATGGTAGAGCTTTTTATTTTTTCATGTCAATGTACAAACAATATCCGCTACAGATATTTACGTAAAGTATATATTAATTAATTTATATTGAGTATAATTTTTACATCCATACAATATTACATATAGGTACCTACATCATATTATATAGTATATACAATTACCTATACGTCAATTATAAATTAATATAACGTATAAAATGTATCAAACAATATACCTATTAACAGTATTAACACAAGGTTCATCATTAGTCATTATCGTTTTATTTTATTCATGATTTTGCGTTAAAAATTAGTACCTATTAAATAATTATTAATAAATGGTAAATACATTAAATT